CAACAAATTAGCTCTTCAACAACAAAACCCCAAAACCCCAAAACCCCAAAACCCCAAAACCCCAATTAAACCTCCTACCTGACTTTTAAATAATAACTATCTTCCCAATATGGATTCGGTTAGGCTCAACGAAAGGCAGACTTATTCCAAAGAAAAGGATATTATTAGTGGAATTTATTCCGGAATAGCAGGAGCTGACAGTAATGTAAGATGTATGTTTAGACTATATAGCTCTCAAATTCCTGCCTGAAAAAGATGTTGATTAAAGGTCATAGGAAGGATATGAGATTTTTAAGAAGACATGTGTTTGTACTAAGCTATCTTTGGTAATTCACTTTATGATCATTTTAGAGTTGGTTATGGCATTCATTACAGTGCTTATTCATGGAATTTCAATTGGAAACACCCAACTGATGTAAAGAAGATTTTAAGAACTTTAAAACCTAGAGCTATCTCAGATTTTTTGATTATTAGTGATAAATTAATTCCTGCAGGTCTCCCATTGAACAATTTTAAAAAGTTCTCTATGGACTTATTAGAATTTTCTGCATACACACTGAAGGAATGTCAAATTGAGGGATTGGATTTATCGACAAAACAGTTCAAATAAAATTGTGCAATGATGCCGATGGATCAAATTTATTGACTTCCAAAGATGTGCTATTCATTTTGATGGAATAACTCTTAATAACACTCTTGAGTACAAGACAGAGATGATATGATTCAATTCGATTGAAGAGCAGACAACTGGTGAAGTTGGAAATGATTCTAGTACTAGACTCTTGTCAATTGAATCCTTTAAAAATTTAATCACAAGCATATCTGAATGTGGTCTCAAAAAATCTTTAAAAAGATTAAGCTTAGGCCAATGTGAACTCAAGCAAGTACAAGTCCTCACCTCTCTTGAAGAACTCAATCTCTACAACCTAAAGATCTCTTTCTTCAGTATCCCCGAAGACAAGCACAGAAATCTCTTGCTGGACCCCAAAACTTCTAATCCTGACGAAACTCTCCCACTCCTTAATAAGAAAAAATGCATAATTCAATAAAACCCACTTATCTCGGGGTTTTGGGGTTTTGGGGTTTTGGGG